TGCAGTAAACCAAGACTGGCCTCTGTTCCAACTTGATGTAAAAAATGCATTCCTAAATGGAGACCTCGAGGAAGAAGTTTACATGGTAATACCTCCGGGGTTTGAAGACAATTCAACTGCCAACAGAGTCTGTAAACTCAGAAAGTCTTTGTATGGCCCCAAACAGTCTCCTTGGGCATGGTTTGACAGATTTACTAGAGTACTCAAGAAGGATGGCTATGTTCAGTGTCAAGCCGATCATACATTATTCGTCAAACATGCTACTGATGGAAAACTCACTGCCCTGATTGTGTATGTTGATGACATAGTTCTCACAGGTAATCATTGGGAAGAAATGGATTGCCTAAAGAAGCTACTCTCAAGGGAATTCGAAATCAAAGATCTTGGACACCTGAAGTATTTCCTTAGGATGGAAGTAGCTAGATCAAGTAGAGGTATCTCAGTGTCACCACGGAAATATGTCCTGGACCTACTCAAGGAGACAGGCATGGTAAGGTGTAAACCAGTTGACACTCCTATGGATCCAAATACAAAATTAGGAGTGCGAACAGATGGTACAGTAGTAGACAAAGGTAGATATCAACACCTTGTGGGAAAACTAATCTACCTTGCTGATACTCGCCCAGATATTGGCTTCTTAGTAAGTGTGGTTAGTCAGTTCATGAATAACCCTTCAAAGGAACACATGGAGGCTGTGTATCGAATCCTACGATATCTCAAGAGAGATCCAAGCAAAGGACTGTTATTCGAGAAAGCCACAAACATAACTGTTGAAGTATTCACAGATGCCGATTGGGCAGGATCGTCCGCAGATCGAAGATCGACGTCAGGTTACTGTTTATTTGTTTGGGGAAACTTAGTGACTTGGCGAAGCAAGAAGCAACCAGTCGTTGCCCGGAGCAGTGCAGAGGCCGTATTTAGAGCATTGGCGCATGAGATATATGTGAAGGAATGTGGCTAAAAAGGCTTTTGCAGGAACTTAAAGTTAAGGCAGAAGGTCCTATTGACATGAGGTGTGATAGTCAATCATCAATAGCCATAGCAAAGAATCCAGTTCATCATGATAGGACCAAGCATGTTGAGATAGATCGTCACTTTATCAGCGACAAGATTGAAGGCAAAATAATCTCACTCAACTATGTTCCTACACGGCATCAAACTGCAGATATCCTAACAAAGGCACTCCACCGTACTAACTTCCAAGAACTATGTTCCAAGCTAGGCATGATGAGTATATACAGCCCAGCCAGCCAAGCTTGAGGGGGAGTGTAGAAAATCTTCTAGAAGTTAGCTGTATTTTATTATAAATAGAAACCGTGTATATTGAAGTAAATTAGGGCTGATTGTTAGGAGAATATTTCTCTGATATAGTTACCCTAGTTAGGCAGATTTTTCCGTGTTTAGAGGATCTTAACAGACCTATCTTTTTTGTATATATTCTTCGTCCAGTAAATGAGAAAGTAAGCATTTTCTCTTCCAAAATATTCTACAATATGTACTATATCTCTTGAAAGAAACAGGAATGCTAGGGTGTAAGCCTGCTGACACCCCTATGGACGCTACGGCAAAATTGGGAAGCAACGATGATAGTGCGTCCGTTGACAAAGGAAGATATCAAAGGTTAGTCGGAAAACTTATTTATCTGCCCCATACCAGACCATACATCAGTTTTGCTGTAAGTATGGTAAGCCAATTCATGAACAGTCCAATAGAAGAACATATGGAAGCGGTGTATAGGATTTTGAGATACTTGAAAATGACACTAGTACAGGGTCTGTACTTCCAGAAAACAGCAAACAGGGAAGTTAGAATATTTACTGATGCAGATTGGGCAGGGTCTGTAACTGATCGAAGATCAACCTCTGGATATTGTACTTATGTTTGGGGTAATTTTGTTACTTGGAGAAGCAAAAAACAGCAGGTGGTGTCCCGAAGCTCAACAGAGGCAGAATTTAGAGCCCTTGCACACGGAATCTGTGAGGGAATTTGGTTGAAACGAGTACTTTACGAGCTGGGAATCCCTATTCCAGGAACTATGAAGGTGTTATGTGATAATCAATCAGCTGTCAGTATAGCCAAGAATCCAGTACACCACAATAGAACCAAGCAAGTGGAAATCGATCGACACTTCGTTAAAGAAAAGCTCGAGAACAACACCATATCACTCCATCATGTCCCTACAAGTCAGCAAACTGCAGACATCCTTACTAAAGCCTTGCCTAGGAAGACGTTTGAAGACCTTGTCTCCAAGCTAGGATTACTTAACATCTACAACCTAGCTTGAGGGGGAGTGTGGAAATTCGGTGTTTAAATTACTAGGGTTAAGTTAGTCTTTTGGTTTCTAAAAATAAAGAGATTCGGATAATGACTTACTTGATCCTCTCATTTATTTTTCCTATTTGTTATCTTTACTAGGATTAGAGATATTGTTTTAGTTTATCAGTTCCTTGTTTTGAGGAATCGATTGGGGCATCTCCTCCTATTTAAACTTATTTTCGTTATTCATTATTCAATGAGAAATGTTCTAGTTCTTTCTCAATTTTTCACAAGGTTCATATGTAGGTTTTGGAATACCTCTGGTGAGGCGTTGTGGTAACTGTCTACTGGATGACTCAGGCACTATATAAGAAATATCCTCAGACAACGATTGGTTTGGTGTATTAATTGGGAGAGACTCAGGCTCACTTTCAGAAGTTTCTTGGCTTCCTAGGTGCTTATTTCCACTTAGATCCAAGTTTTGACCTCTAGATTCCAAGTCATCCACTTCTACGCTTATTGTGTCGTTGTGTAGGGTATCACCACTCACATCCAAGTTTTGACTACTAGGATCCAAATCACCTACATTTTGATCAAATACTTCCACCACATCTTCCTCAAGGTTGTATACAAGAGTCTGAATTTCCTCAAGATACTCCCCCTGAAAGTTAAACTTAGAGAAATACATGGTATCTTCATGAAAGATAACATCTATAGTAATAAACATGCGTTTAATAGGGGGATGATAGCATTTGTATCCTTTTTGATGAGTAGCATATCCAACAAAGGCACATTTCAAGGCTCGAGGCATTAACTTACTGCGTTGGTGTTTGTGAAGATACCATGTATTTCTCTAAGTCTGACTTTCAGAGGGAGTATCTTGAGGAAATTCAAACTCTTGTATACAACCTTAAGGAAGATGTGGTGGAAATTTCTCTTACAGGACCTAGGATACCCCCCAAAGCAACCAATTCAGTTATACTGTGACAATAAAGCAGCATGCGATATAGCCCATAATCCAGTTCAACATGACCGTACAAAGCATGTCGAGGTAGATATGTTCTTCATTAAGGAGAAACTGGATGAAAAGGCTGTGGAACTACCAAAGATTCGGTCAGAAGATCAGTTAGCTAATATCCTTACCAAAGGAGTATCCAATTGGGTGCTCTCAAAGTTCTTAGACAAGTTGGGCATGTGACATTTATGCACCAACATGTGGGGGAGTGTTGAGATAGTCAACGGTTTTGTAATTGATTTTATTACCTTGTACAGAAGATTGTATAGGTGTATACAGATCATAGAGATTGTATAGGCAGATTTCTAGAGAGCTACTTAGAGATTCTAGTCCTATATATATACTCTGTATTTGATCAAAAAGCAATATAACAAAAATCAGTTTATCATTCTTGTTTTCACATCCGGTGATCTTCATAAATGTAATTCTTCTCAAGCAAATTATAGAACCAATATACTCATTATATTCATATTCGCAATATATAACATCTGGAATATATTTTATCAAAATAGCAGAGAGAGGATATGAGAGAGAAAATATACCTCTAGCTTCCTGGCCAAATTCATGGAAAAATAAAGGTCTTGTTCTTGGAGTTTTCTTCTTCTCCATAGCTTTCTGAAGTGCCTGAGAATATCAGAAAGAAAGACTTGACTTGTTTCCTGTAGAAAGTAGTTTCATGTTGTCTTCAACGAATTCTGAAAACCTTTCACAAGGAATGATTGAGAACTGAGTTTTCTTTCTTCTTTCTCGACTTAATGAAGCAATTCTATTTTAAGTTGTAATAGTGCTCGTACTGCCTTTAAATCCCTATTTTTAAATAGCAGGTAATTAGTTAATAAGGGTGTTATGTCAGAGTGCTATATCAGCAACTAATGGATTTGTTCTTGGCCAATCAGAAAAGGCTGTTGTTGGAGTTAGTTAGGATCTGATGTGTGTTAGGGGCAATTGAGTAAATGCCATAGTTTTATGACGGCTTGTCATGGAACATCCATAAAAGGTCCTCGTTTTTCACCTACCAAACAAGCTCTGATGACACTTAACAACGAATTTAGACCTGCTTTCTTTCTTCTTGACATCTCCAGACAATGCTAAATTAATGTGTCGAGGTCAAATTTTTTAATTTGTTAATTTTTTTAGAAAATCACTCTCTAATACAATGTTAATTTTTCGTATTGAACATGGCACCAAACATTTGGTTATACCATTTCCAAAGAAAATGTCACTGCTATATTTGCCACACAATAAGTATTTGATGTGTTGTTTCCATAGTAAACCGTGTTTCAATGTATTTCAAATGTTATATATATATTGGTTATCATAAATTTTAAGCTTTAAAACTTGTAAAAGTAAACTCTTTTCTATTCTTAAAAAAATCTGGACACTAAGCTATCTAAATTCAGTTGTGTGAGTTGGTCACTTGGTATCTTGCTCTAAAACATAATGGTGTCACTTAATAAAGCACTTGTAGATGGTAATTAAGGTGTCGTTTGATAAGATCTAGAACATAGCTATCTACATTTAAAATAAAGGGGTCTGTCATCATGTGTAATTTTAATAGATCATATACTTGTGGTCAAAGTTTCTAGAGAAGAACATAATAATCTGCTTGAACTGTTGAGACATACAGAAGTTAAAATGATTGAAAATGAACCAGCAAAAGTTAGTTTCCTTATGAAACTACTGAATACAGAAATAATTGTTCAAGAGGATTCCTCTTTGCCTCTTGGGTGGATGATAAATGAAATATTCACTTATACTCGGACTTTGGAAACACACCATACTTGTGAAATGAATATGTTCGAAGTATTAAGACATGCCGGAGCAAGAAAACATTGATAAAAGAGCAGAAAAGTTAGTTTTCTCATGAAACTAAAAAGAAAATTATAATACTACTATAGAAATAGTTCAAGAGGATCCATCTTTGCCTCTTTGCGTCTGAGACTTGAATTTAGAACAAGACCACGGAATGTCAATTTTTAGGCTTTAGAACAAGAGCCAAACCAAATCTAGGTCCCGAGGCCTCTCCGACGTCATATTCACTAGAGATTGATAAACGTGCATTATCATGGATATCATGACGCAGGAGAGCCTTAAGTATCCCGCGGTTATCAAATCTGGCCTTCACAGCCGTCCGATCATCCTCGCCTACCCATGATCCGCCAATTGTTGATCTCCCTCGTCCTGTTCTGAGATTTAGAGTCATCTTTACTCCTGCAGAAATCTTCTTGGCTTCGTCCATATAATGAACATATGATGCCTCAAGCCAGTGACCCTTGTTGTAGCCAATTTGGCCTTTCTTGGTACAACATAACCTGAGGAAAAAAAAATAAAAATAAAAAACAGGTGTTCTAAGAGCTTCAGGTATATCAAGGAACATAAGTAGGAAGAGAATAGGGAGAGTATTTGTGAGAACTTTCTTTTTTTACTTAAATAAATTTTTTTTTGTTTATCCAGTAAAAGAAAAAAAAAAAAAAAAGAGTTCCCTTTCCTCCAATTTATGTGTTTACTTAAATAATAATGCAATTCTTATTCTCAATAGGCAGCACACTCTTAAAACACGTGCTTGATTTTTCAGGGAAAAAAAAAATCAGATGCTTGATACCCTTCCCCGTTTACCTTTCTTTTCTTTCCAAAGCTTTTTATCTTTTATAGTAAAATCTATAATGAATTAGTAAACGCATTCTTAATATAGTAGTCTAAACCATGGTTAATTGAATATTATATATAGAGAAATTTCTGAAATCTAAAATAATATTTTCAAACTATATAACATTATATATATTATATACCTCAAAGTTATAGAGGCATCGCAAGCGGACTTTGTAACTTGAATGCCTGCATCCCACACTGTGAAATGTCCTCCTGAGATGAATGGGAGTCCCAACATTCCCTGCATGCCAAATGCAATGCCTGGAGTGCCAATGCTTGCTGACATACTATATTTGCGGCAGATTTTGGGCATATCAGCGAAGAAGGTCACCGCAGCGTTTCGATGGGGGAGACACCAAAGTTTGAGCTGAAAAATACGGAGGAGCAAGTCAATTTGAATTGAAGACTACGTAAAATGTGAAATAAAACATATGGTTATAACAAGTGTGCAAAAAATGCATCACAACACAGTTAGTCTTTCCTTGACAAACGACAACCAAAAAAGAAAAATGAAAGATAGAACTGAGGATGGTACATTGGTAACAAAGGTACCAGAATCTTGGTACTCAGGGTAGTATAATGAGATTTCAGGCCTTGCCGATGGCGGAGGAGACTCTCTAGCTTTAGCGACCCGTACTGAAATTTCTGACTGTATAGTGATATTTCAAACAGGCAGCGTTAAGATTTTTTTAATTATAATTGTAATTATTTTTATTTTTTGTGAAATGTAATTTGAGATGTACCATGCAGTTTGAGTTTCAGCCACTAGATGATGCGAAGAAAGGATTTCAACCGGTGACGAAAATGACGTTCTCAGCTAAATTTTGATGGCTCAAAATCCTTTCTTTTCATCATCAAACGGTTAAAATTGAGCTGTGTGGTAACTTGGGATGTTCTGCAGCTTCTTCCAAAAACTTTAGATTGTAAAGAAAGAAGATCAAGTACTTACATCATCAAACATATGATCAACATCTTTTAATCTTGTTGAACGAAAATGAGCAGCAATACTCTTGTCCTTCTCATCGTACACTGCCCTGATAGCTGAAGCCGATCCACTTCGATTCTCAAACAAAGATGACTCAATGGTCTAGATTGAAAAAAATGTGAAACATATTGCATTAGAATGAAATATTGTCGTACCAATGAGTAACCAAAAAGAAAGTATAACTTTTTTTTTCCCCTTATGTTTGGAAAGAATTGTATGAGCCAGTTTTGGGGTCTGTAATGTGTATATCCTCTACATACAATATAATATGACCAACAACTTGTAATAATTGGTTGTCACTGTTCTTATTTTTGCACTTTTTACAAAAAGGAAAGAAGAAGAAAAAAAAAAAAAGACAACGACATACCAAGCCATCAGTAGAACAAGTTGAGACCTTGATCAGCTTCCTGTTTTGGCGGAGGTAGCCCTTTCTAAGCAAGTCTTCAACAAAATGGAAATTAGTGAAATTAGCGTAAAGAAGAATATTCAACTTTCAAACTTGAGAAAATTAAAAAAAATAACGCAATGAAGAAACTTATCACAAAAACTGAAATCTGAAAGAAAAATAGAAGGGCGTAAACTTAAAGCCGTATTATTAAAGTCATGTTACCAATCCCTTTTAAGGCCTAGTTTTGGAGGACAGAAAGAAAATCATATGCAATTCGTATTATACGAAAAAGGTCAATCTTATGCAATTCGTATTATATTCGAGAGAGAGAGAGAGAGAGAGAGAGAGAGAGAGGGAAAATATACCTCTAGCTTCCTGACCAAATTCTTGGAAAAATAAAGGTCTTGTTCTTGGAGTTTTCTTCTTCTCCATAGCTTTCTGAAGCGCCTGAGAATATCACAAAGGAAGACGACTTGAATTGTTGCTAGTGGAAAGTACTTTGATCGTTGTCTTCAACGAATTCTGGAAAACTTTGACAAGAAGGAATGATTGAGAACTGAGAGTTTTCTTTCTTCTTTCTCGACTTGATGAAGAAATGCTTTATCTGAAGTTGTAATAGTACTCGTACTGCCTTTAAATAGCAGGTAGTTAATGAGCCTGTTTTCCAGAGTGCATGGCAGCAACTATCTTGGTCAATCAGAAAATTCTGTTGTAAGATTTTTTTTTTTTCTTGGGTAGAAATTCTGTTGTAAGAGTTAGTTAGGATCTGATGTGGACTAGGGGCAACTGAGTAAATGACATTTAGTTTGAGTGATTTGTGGAATAATTCTTGATCCTGATTTGTAAATAAGAGAGATTTTCTGAGTAATTTCCTTTGTACACCTATATTAACCGTCAAATTTATATATCTTATACTAGGTACAAATATAGAAGGAAACTATAATATATTCCAAAATTTGACATTGGTTGCTAGCTGATTGACTAATTGTTAGAATTAACCCAGTCATTAGTCATGTGAGAGTTGACGTGGAGGACAGTTGTGAACAAGTGGTAACAGCACATGGATTATAAAAGAACAATAGTCTGTTAGTGGTATGTGAGTGTGTCATTATAACAAGCGGTGAAATAAGCCTATATAAGGGATAATACTCAAGTGAAAGCTATAGCAATGAGAGTCTTTGTAATTGTTTGTTATGAAAATTCGATCAAACACCCGAAAAACAGAAGACACGAAGAACTTTATTGAAAACAAACAAAGGCTTGTGTGTAAAGTCATTCTTGATCAATAAAGTTCTTCTTGTCTTCTGTTTTTCTGGTGTTTGATCGAATTTTCACAACAAACTGGTATCAGAGCCTTGGTTCTTGATAACCATGGGTTCCGCCAAATTCGATATGGAGAAATTCACTAGAAGGAATGATTTCGGCTTGTGGAGGCTCAAGATGAGGGCACTTCTGGTGCAACAGGGGCTTGAAGATGCGTTGGGAGGTGAGAAAAATCTGCCCAGCACTCTTACAGACAAGGAGAAGAGTGATTTGATGAGCAAAGCTCATAGCGCAATTATCCTGTGTTTGGGTGATCGAGTCCTAAGAGAAGTTTCAAAAGAAAAATCTGCTGTAGTGATTTGGACGAAATTGGGGAACCTCTACATGATGAAATCTTTAGCCAATCGTCTAATTTTGAAGCAAAGGCTGTATATTTTCTCAATGTCCCCTGGGAAATCAATGGCAGACCACTTGAATGATTTTAACAAAATCATTCTTGATCTGGAAAACATTGATGTAAAACTTGAAGATGAAGATCAAGCTGTTATTCTCTTAAGTTCTTTACCGAGTTCTTATGAGAATTTCGTGGATACGATGATGTTTGGTCGTGAAACGCTCTCTTTGGAAGAAGTACAGGCTGCTTTGAATTCAAAGGAGCTGCAGAAGAAGGCCGAAGCTAAACAAGAATCAGGGGAAGGATTGATGGTTCGAGGCAGGACATACAAAAGAGAAGAAAAGTTGAAGGGTCGATCAAGATCAAAATCAAAGACACCAAGAAAGTGTTTCTTATGTCACAAAGAAGGTTATCTCAAAAGAAATTGCCCTGAAAGAAAAAAGAAACAACATAAGCCAAGTGAAGTTGAAGCAGATGATGGAGATGCCGCTATAGCCACTGAAGGATATGAAAGTGCAGAAATCCTTGCAGTCACCGAAGGAGATTCTGGAAAAGAATGGGTATTGGATTTAGGCTGCTCGTTTCACATCACTCCCAACAAAGGCTGGTTTGAGACTTTCACAGAAAAGGGATATGGAACAGTCTTATTGGGCAATGACAAGTCTTGCAAAGTTTGTGGGATTGGAACAATCAGGCTAAAGCTTCATGATGGCGTGGAAAGAATCTTGCAAGAAGTCAGGTATGTGCCTGAGCTTAAACGAAATCTAATTTCTTTAGGCTTACTGGAACAAGGTGGTTTCACATTTAAAGCAAATGATGGTGTTCTGAAAATCACGAAGGGTTCTTTAGTGGTCATGAAGGGAATTAGGAAAGCTTGTTTGTACACATTGGCAGGAAGCACTGGTGTGGGTTCAGTTTCTATGGTTGAGGATAATGATAATTTAAAGGAAAGATTGTAGCACAGGAGGTTAGGCCGTGTAAGTGAAAGGGGTATGATGGAGTTGCACAAACAAGGGCTTTTATGTGGAGATAAAATTGAGAAACTCAATTTCTGTGAACATTGTGTTTATGGCAAGGCTTGTAGAATCAAGTTCACTTTAGCAACACATAGAACCAAGAACACACTAGACTACATTCATTCAGATTTATGGGGGGCCTCCAGAGTTGTGTCAAATGGTGGAGCTAGATACTTTCTCTTTATTGTGGATGATTATTTCAGGAAGATCTGGGTGTACTTGTTAAAAACGAAGGATGAGGCTTTTGTTAAATTCAAGGAATGGAAGAATCTCATTGAAAACCAAACCGGGAAGAAAATTAAGCATTTGAGAACTGATAATGGGTTTGAGTATTTTTCAGAAGCCTTTAAGAAGCTGTGCAGAGATGAGGGAATTGCAAGACACAAGACAGTTAGAGGAACACCTCAGCAGAATGGCCTAGCAGAAAGATTTAACAGGACCATCATGGAAAGAGTTATAGCTATGCTCTCTGAAGCAGGATTATCCAAATGTTCCTGGGCATAAGCAGTGATGACAGCCACCTATTTAATCAATAGGTGTCCATCTACAGCACTTGGGTTCAAGACACCAGAAGAGATTTGGTCTGGAAAGCCAGCTGACTACAGCAACCTAAGGGTTTTTGGGTGTACTGCTTATGCACACATAAGGTAGGATAAGTTGGAGCCAAGAGCCCTTAAATGTATTTTTTGGGGTATCCATAAGGTGTTAAAGGGCTACAGGCTATGGTGTTTAGAACCAGGCTTCAGGAAGAGCATCATTAGCAGAGATGTTATTTTCAATGAAACAGAAATGGGAATGATGAAACAGAAACAACATGCTGAAACTGTAAAGGAGTCAGAAACAGGTAGTTTAGAAATTGAGGTGGAGTCATCCCATCAACCAGTTACTGCATATCAGACAGAAGAGCATCGAGAAGTTTCTGATGTGGATTCCTATAGGCTGGCAAGAGACAGATCAAGAAGGACAGTGAGACCTCCCCAAAGATATGGACATGCTGATTTGATCTCATATGCTTTGAATACTGCAAACGAGATTGAAGATCAGGAACCATGGTCTTACAAGGAAGCAATGAAGAGCAAAGACAAGGAATTATGGCTTGAGGCCATGAAAGAGGAAATCAGATCCTTAGAGAAAAATCGCACTTGGGTTTTGGTGGACAAACCAAAGAACTAAAAAGTGGTGGGATGCAAATGGGTGTATAAGAGAAAAGATGGAATTCCAAGAGTAGAGCCCCCTAGATTCAAGGCCAGATTGGTGGCAAAGGGGTTCACACAACAAGAGGGGATGGATTACAATGAAGTATTTTCTCCAGTAGTGAACCCACTTCAATTAGAGTTCTATTGGCCCTGACAGCTCAATTTGACATGAACTTGGAGCAGTTGGATGTAAAAACAGCTTTCTTGCATGGGGAGTTAGAAGAGAAGATATTTATGCAACAACCAGAAGGTTTTGTTGAGAATAGAGATGCTGGAAAGGTGTGTTTGTTGAAAAAGTCATTGTATGGGTTGAAGCAATCACCAAGGCAATGGTACAAGAGATTTGATGACTTTATGATCAAATCTGGTTTCAACAGAAGCTCTTATGACAGTTGTGTTTACTATAAAGTTCTGCCTGGAAACAACTTTATATGCCTACTCCTTTATGTTGATGATATGCTTATTGCATGTAAGAACAACAAGGAGATCAATCGAGTTAAAGCTCAGTTGATGAAAGAAATTGAAATGAAGGATTTGGGTCATGCAAAGAAGATCTTAGGCATGGATATAGTCAGAAATAAAGAGAAAGGGAATGTGTTTCTCTCTCAAAGGGGTTACTTGCATAAAGTACTAAAAAGGTTTAAAATGCTAGAAGCTAAGCCAGTTTTAACACCACTAGCTCAGCATTTTAAACTTTCAGTTAGTCAAGCACCAGGAAGTGAAGAAGAAAGAGCCTATATGGAGACGGTTCCATATGCTAATGTGGTGGGAAGTATTATGTATGCAATGGTCTGTTCCAGACCAGATTTAGCCAACTCAGTTAGTGTGGTAAGTCGCTTTATGGCAAATCCAAGGAAGCTTCATTGGCAGGCATTGAAATGGATTTTGAGATACATAAAGGGAACTTTGAACTTGGGACTTGAATACAGGCAAATTCAGGATGCTTCAAAGGTGGTTACTGGTTATGTTGATTCAGATTTTGCTGGGAATGTGGATAC